TATAGGCCTTGAAAGTAGGGTTTCAAATTTCGAAAAAAATCAATATGCTCTGTGTCGGTTCTTATTGGAAACACCCTGTATATACAAAGTGTTAACGAAATAAATACTCAAATTTTGAGAGTGTTTAAAACATGTCGAAATATGATGAAAATCTTAGTGGAGTTTTTGTCAGTGGCGGCCCCTAAGGGAGATATGGCCCCTTGAAGGGGTAACGCAGGAAACAGTTTTTATTGCATAACTTCAAAACGGTTTATTGTACAGTCATTGAAGCTTTTCACCTCCGAATTCTTTGAAACTGAACCGATCGACTTGAAATTTGACAGATAGTTAGAGAAAAGGTCAATGAACATTAGTGACATAGTGCCGATTGACGCTTCCACCCTGTTGGGAGTTGACACCCCTTCTCGGGGGTGGAAATTTGCAAATGAGCAAAAATTTCTCGAGAAATCAATAGTTTTTGAGTTATTCATCATTGAAAACTTGTAATTTTGAGTGAAGAAAAGACACTTTTTCAAAGTATTTTTCGCGAATAACTCAAAAACTACGCATTTTATTAAAAAAAGTGCAATGAACAAAAATGTAGCTTATAAATAAACAAAGAAAATCATTTTTTAAAAAGTGTTGTACGTCCTATACAAAGCGAAATATGCTTAGTGGAAGGGGACTTGTTTTGGGGGGAATACTGGAATCGATGTATTCAACGTCAAATAACGGAAAAAGGATTCATTTTACGTGTATAACGCTCCAGGAGTTCTTTGTAGTACTCAAAAATACTCAAAAAGACCTTCAAAATGAGCACCTATAAAAGTTAGTTAGAGCAAAATTGAAGGAGTTATCGTCAAAAACAGATGGGTTGATCATATTTTTTAAGGAAAATGAGCAGTAACCGCTGTACCATTTCAATCAGAATTAAAGTAAAGCGTCTACGATTACGTAGACCCTTTACAATTAGTTTTGTTTTAGTGTTTTTCATACGATCCTGAAGTTAGACCGGTTTAGAATGCGTATTTTTTTTAATAATGTACGGTAAATGTTGAAAACGTATTTTTCATTATTCAAAAAAAATTGCCTTATTTACATAATAACTGTTTTGCTTTATTTTTATTCCTAGAGCATAAAAAATAAAGGAGATTTCGCCGCTTGAAGAATCCATTTTAGTGAAAAATCGACCTGTCTCGAGCCCTTCGATCCTTTCCCTTTAAAAAACGAAGGACTTAAAAGGTTTTATATACAAACAATCTTACAGCTCTTGAAATTATCGTTAAAATACTTTTTTGTAGGATACTATAGCTTCAAAATTAACCTACTTATGGTAAAAAAGCCAATGACATTTTTTCGGAGCTAAATAGGCTTTCTTATTTTTATATATTATATATTATATTATACAAATAAAATAAGTAAAAAAATTTAGTGTGATTATTTATATGCAGCGTAGCAATTTTTTTATTATAATAAAAATAATTTACATTAATATTGGTAAAAGGGTAGTTTATAAGAGTTGAAAATGGCAAAAGTAAAATATTCTTTCATAAACAATATAAGGGAATATTTATTTTAAATTATTGCACGATTATAGCACTCCAAGATTTAAAACGTAATTTTTTATCATTTTTTCACAGGGGTGGTTTATAAGGCTTGAAAAGTGTTATGAGATACAAACTCTTTCATAAGCAATGAGGGAATTTTTATTTTAAATAATTTCACCGTTAAAGCATTCCAAGATTTTAAAACGTAATTTTTTATCATTTTTTCACAGGGGTGGTTTATAAGGCTTGAAAAGTGTTATGAGATACAAACTCTTTCATAAGCAATGAGGGAATTTTTATTTTAAATAATTTCACCGTTAAAGCATTCCAAGATTTTAAAAAGTAAAATTTTTTACCTTTTTTGTCAATACAGGGGTGGTTTTTAGGGGTTGAAAGGGGAGCATTCTTTTATTAGCTATAAGGTAACTTTTATTTTAAATAATTGCACGATTTAATCATTCCAAATCTTTAAAATGTAATTTTTTATGATTATTTTTTGCATAGGGGTAGTTTTTAAGGGTTAAGTAAAGGGTCGAAAAGAGCAAATATATCATAAAACATGTTCGAGAACATGGAACATTATTTAATCTATGTGCAAGAACAAGATTTTTGTCAATAAAATGCTTAAAACTTTTTCACTTAAGGGTAGTTTTTACCCCTAAAAAACAAAAAGCGTCAATCGGGCTTATGTCACTTTTGAACTTGAGCCTAAGATGAGCCTTATTCTAAATTTTCATGCAAATCAGTTTCAAAAAATTCGTAGGTTACAGCTGATTTTCAGCTTCAATGACTGTACTATTAATATTAAATCACAAAATTTTGGGGTTGTATTACTATTTGTATGCTTAATAATCGGTATAATATACAAATCAAAATTTGCTACAGGGGCGTAAGAAAATGCCGGACCATAAATGGCAAATTTTACAATTTTTTTGTGTACGCAATTTTTCTACTTCCTGAAACGAAAATATGCAAATTTATCATATTTTGCATAAAAAAGTACTCTTGTTAGATTTTAATAATTCATTATGTCCTCAAATTTTCCTGCTGCAAAATAAATGTACTTATCAAATAGTTCCATAAAAAAATTACTATTTGTGACACTTAACAGAGAAATTTGTATTCAGGTACTGTAATAAACAGAGACGAAACTAAATTATTCTACTAGTTCAGACACAGAGGAATCCGCGCGGATCACCTATCCTATTCAAATTTCTCAAATTGGAATTTTGAGTAGGTAGTCTAACCAGTAGTTGACATATACTTGACACCTCTGTTAAGTGTCACAAATAGTCATTTTTTCATGGCACAATTTAATACATTTATTTTGCAGCAGGAATTTTTGAGCACGTAATGAATTGTTGAAATGGATTTTACTAGAAAACGACTCATGCTATTAAAATCTAACAAGAGTATCTCTTTTATGCAAAATTTGATAAATTTTCATATTTTCGGTTCAGGAACTAGAAAAAATTGCGTACACAAAAAAAATTGTAAAATTTGCCCCATGGTCCCGCATTTTCTTACGCCTCTGTAGCAAATTTTGATTTGTATATTATACCGATTATTAAGCATACAAATAGTAATCCAACCCCCAAATTTCGTGATTTAATATTAAACCGTTTCGAACTTATGCAATAAAAACTGTTGACATTGAAACTGTTGAAACTTTGTTGACACTTAACGTAAAGTTCCTTGTTCAGTGAGAAGTTATCAACAGACGACATAACGATCTTGAAAGTGGTATTCTATAAAACTTTTCCGTAATATCCTGTTTAGTCAGTATACATGGGTGGCTAAATGAAAACGAAACAGACCCATTTTCAGGAACTGCGTCAAGATTGTAGAAAAACGTTCAGACCCGTCGATTTTAGATTAAAGGGGAACATTCTTTGCTGGTATTTTTGACTCCGCCACTTTCACCCCCAAGCAAGGGTAAGCATCCCCCAAAATATTTAAATGGCATTGGGGGTTGAGTATTATTTCTTTTGAAAGCTCTAACAATTCTCTTTACAACAGACTTTAAATTTTATAATTCCGCCCAATACTTTGAAAAAAAATTACATTTTAAAATTTAAATTATGTTTAGTTGCTTACTTACTACTTAGTTGATTAAATGTTCAAACTGATGACCGCCCGCTTCCATACAAGAATAAAGATTTTGTTCAAAACATTCGCGCACATTCCGAAGCATTTCCGGAGTGATTCGACGGCATTCGTGGTTTATAGATTTCAAGAAAAAACTACATTCATCAGAAAAACAGATGTTAAAAAGGAACTGTGGATCGTTCCCTGCTCGGTCACTCATTATTTCGCAAAATTGCAAACGGCGGTCATAATCATCCTCATGAAGTTCCTGGACTAAATGTATTTTGTATGGATGGAATTTATTCTTCTTCAAAATGGTTTGTATGCTAGTTCGATTGATCCCAGACACAGATGCCAGCTGCCTCGTACTTAATGTAGGATCAAGATGAACTTGTCCCAAAACTGCAACTTCACTAGCTTCATTAACTATAGGTTTTTCAATTTCTCGTTTTTTATTGGCTACGTTCCCTGTCTCTTGAAATTTTTTTACTAACTCTAGAACATACTTCCTCCTGACATGTCGATCTTGATGTTGTTCATTAAATAGCTGAGCTGTTCTATTCGCACATTTATTGTTCATAAAGTAAAGCGAAATGATATCTACCCTTTCCGCAATGGAATAAACCATAGTGTTTAATTTTCAAAAACACAATTAAATAAACTACCAACCAACGCTTCCAAATAATACTAGAAAATAATTTGGAATCCACTAATTTTACGTTCATTGTGTGTGTATAGCATTCATTTCTGTTTTTTACAATTGTGTTTTTTTTACGAAAGTGATAACAAATCGCCAAAAACCAATGTAACGCAAGAAATACTAAATTTATACCATTGGCGTACTTAACTCGAATGACTGACATTTTTACCGTTACTAATTGTTTGTACATAAGTTTCAACTTTAAAATCAAAATTCTTAATAAGTATTGGGCGGAATTATAAAATTTAAAGTCTGTTGTAAAGAGAATTGTAAGAGCTTTCAAAAGAAATATTACTCAACCCCCAATGCCATTTAAATATTTTGGGGTGAGAGTCAAAAATACCAGCAAAGAATGTCCCCCTTTAATCTAAAATCGACGGGCCTGAGCGTTTTTCTACAACGACGCAGTTCCTGAAAATGGCTCTGTTTCGTTTTCATTTGTCCAGCCTGTATATTAAAAAAATTAAACTAAATGGTAATGCTCGCATGTTTCGAAAATTATATTTGTCATATGTTTTTTAAATAAATTTTATCTCACAATATACTGTTTGTTACATTCTGCAATAAAAGGTAACATACATATTTCAACGTAAACGTATTCACAAATTTCTTTTATTGTGCTGAACATTCAACAAAGGGAATTCGCATGATATTTACATAAAAAGCTTATATGTTTTGTTTTATAGGCTGGTGTACGAAACGCACTACAAAGATGTCATAACCACGCGAAATTCCAACGAAGTCACATATTCATGCTGCCCAGGATGGATCCAGGTCACTAACAGGAGTCACGGCTGCAACAAAGGTAATAAATTGCTGTCAACACCTCTGATAGAAACACGAGCGAATCGAAAACAAACAAAATAGTAAGACATAACAATGCAATTACGGGACAGTAATAAGACTGATGTACAGAACAATCCATAATTTTAATAAATATCATTTAGAGCAGTGGTATTCAACTAGGAGCGCGCGTACCTCTAGGGGGTACGTCTTAAGGGGTATGCAAAGGAATCTCTTAGGATATGTAGGTACATAGAAAGGAAAAAAAATAAGTTAGTTAATAATTAAATAATTCCATTACTTTCCAATATTCCACGATATTTCATAACATTTTATTTTTTTTTATTTAAAAACAAAAAAGGTGTTTCAAAATCTTATGAGCTTTGACCTTCATATGTGCAGAAACATAATTCCGACCGTCGCCTAAATTATTCTATGTCCTAAAAACATTACATCTATTATTCACAGTAACAAGCCTTTGATCCGATTACAAATATTATAATAAAATGCTCTATTCTTTATTATTTTAATTTAAGCAATAAAAATATATATAACGAACGTTCGCCAGTTGATTTTATGATGCCCGAGCGCCTTAGTTCATTTCTGGTTGTAATGTGACACATAGTCTAATTCTGAGTCAATGTTTTCACAACATGCTTATTAGAAGAATTATGCGAATACGCCACGCCTTTCGCGCATTTCGCGGCTCAAGAGATTTTGAAACTACTCTACTAACCAAGCTCACACTTTTTATTTACCATTACATAAACACAGTCGCACAAAAAAAAAGGAAGTTCAAATCCACATATCATTTCCGAAGGAATTCGATGCGCTGAACACAATGCTGGTAGTCAAAATTCATGACTTCACGACACATTTCGGAGAAAAGTGAAATTTTTGGGTAAAACTGGTCCAAATATGGGTTAAAACTGATTTTTCCTAAATTTTGTCCAAATATATAGTTTTCGTAGTAAGTGCTGAATCATTGGTCAAAATTTACCTCTAACCTCGATATTTCTGAGTAAATCCAAAATTAGTGCTTTTTTACATACCTGAATTTAATTAATATGAAGTTCATAAGAAACACCACTTTTACCTCCAACATCAAAATAAAATATCCAACATTATTGACAACTCTGTTTGATAAAGATATTATTTATTATCGCAATTTAAAACGAGTGACAGCTTTAGGATGAAGTTAAAGATATCCATAGAATTTTAAAATTTATACAAATTTGTTGGATGAAAATATATATGGACTTAAACAGAATGGAGAAGATTAAGCAAACATTTTTATAAATTCATGAACAATGCTGTTTTTGGAGAAATCATGGAAAATATAAAGACGTAAAATGTGTCACTAGATAGTCAAGTAGATGTGATGCAAATCATTATATGTAATTTAAAGCCAAATTTTCAGTTATACAATTTTTGATAAAGATATTGTTATAATTGAAATTAAACGATTAAACATAACATTTAATAAACCTATATATGTAGAATTTAGTATATGTATTAGATATATCGAAAACAATTGTGCATGATTTTTATTACAACTGCATTAAAAACAAAAATAATACAGCAAAATTACTACATTATGATATTAATAAATTAGTACGAGTAGTAGGTGTAATTACTATTTTAATTATCATGAATGTAAAAAAGTAGGTACTAATTTTAAATTTTACTAATAGCATCGTGTTCAGCGCCGCAAAATATGACGAAAATGATATATTTGGACAAAACTTAGGAAAAAATTAGTTTTGGGTCAATATTTGGGCGTTTTCACCCAACAATTTAACTTTTCTCCATTTGTCATGAACTCATTAATTTTAACTACAGGATCCTGTTCAAAGCATCGAATTCCTTAGGAAATGATATATGGGTCTATAGGGTTTGGACTCTTGTTATGGCTGTATATAAACTGTTTAAATTTCAATTGTAAATATAGTAACTACTAATGGTAATGTAGGCACTTAGGCACTAAAAAAAGTAAAAATAAAATCATATTTACTATCTGACATCTAGCGCTGGATTCTGGCTCTTTACTAATTCTAACTGAAACTAAAATATATTTCCTCAAATCTGACTAAGATATAAGATAAAACCGTACTTGATTTAAACATTTTTTAGAAGGGGTCCGCGAAAAAAAAGGTTAAATTCCACTGATACAGTTTGGTTAGAAGTATATGGGGGGAGAAAAAATTATGTAGAACTTTTTTCGAGAACTGTCATTAAAAGTTAACTTTTACATCACATCATTATTAAGTGTCAGAACAATAGTTTTTTGTCTACAAAACGTAGTCTTTTACATACAGGATTTATAAGACTTTTATATTCAGCTAAAAAAATCAATAAAATTATAGATAGAATCAATTCACCAGTTTTTTATTATCATCAACTATCGCTATTTGCTATCGCTCGCAGAAAACCTTTACTTCTCGAATGCAAAAATAGTATTTCGCAATCTAGAATCAAAAATAACTGATTTCTGATTTCTTCTTCCATATTTTAAATTAGACATTCTAAATATTTATTGGAACAAACATAGTTTTGACCAAAAAAGCTTGTAGCATATTCTATTACTAACTAACACTGTTCTTACAGAGGCATTTATTTATTTAGCTGAAATTTTGACAGTTGCAAGGAAACGAAAGTCGGCCATATTTTCAATAAACAGAACAAATGAAGAAACCCCCGTATACAAATTTTTAGATTTCAGTTTGAATTCCTTCCCCACATACTTCCAGACAAAGTTTATTATGACACAATATATAATACACGGTAGGAAAGTACCGATGGTCTATCTGAAGTTACGTGAGAGCGATAAAGTAAGCCATAGAAATCCATGTGATAGACAAGAATGGGTATAAGAAGTGGATCTTAAGATTCACTTCTTATTTGTGGAAGGGCGAAATGGGCGGTGACTATTAGACGCCTTCACTATACCCATTCTTGTCTATCACATGGATTTCTAGGGCTTACTTTATCGCTCTCACGTTACTTCAGATAGACCATCGGTACTTTCCTACCCTGTATAATAAATACACTACAATGAAGAAAAAATCATATTGACTAAACAAAAATTTTAAATATTTTATTTAGATAGGTTGGAAGCGTCTATTACCGTAAGACGAGTCCATTTTCAACAACTGTTGTGATTTTTGTTGTTTATTTGCTTAGTTTTGAAATAATTGTTTTTATCATGTTGCCACTTTCTTTCTTTTATGTTTTCCATCGTAAAACGCCATTTATATTGAAAACGATTCACGTTAGAGCTTTTTATGACGAGAAGACATTAGCGGTTTAAAATAGACTAAAAATTCCAATTTTCTCAGAGTCGTTCAAATTAAATCTCCGCCACTGTCATATGACTAAAAATTCAATTAGCGCCCAAAAATAGTTAATATTAATTATAATACGTGTACAAAATTTCTGTTCTGTATCTCAAACGGTTCCTGAGATATTGTTAAAAAGCTGAAAAAAACTTTTTTTTGACACCCTATATATCTCGAAAAAGGTGCGTTTGCGGGCCCATGTTTACTTTTTTTTCTAGTATCATGTACTTACAGCTGTCTCAGTTTGCATGATACACCCTGTATATTCTAAAGGACCTCGCATAGATCTTATGGGAATTGGTCCTCGGTTAAATTCGCTGTAACTGAAATATGTTGTTCTCCTCGGCCTCCTGATCAAAAGTTCTCATGAGCACAAGGCCCGAAAATCCACAGTGTGCCAGATATCAGAGGTTAAAGTACCACTTTTTTGCAACTCTATGCTTATAAATTATACCATGGGAGTTCCCTGGAAGTTTGTAGGTGGCCTTTTAGTTTTTGATTCAATCTGGGGACCCTTTTGGTTGCTGATTTCGGATGGTACTACAAACCCGGCCAATGAAAAGTAGATAGCTTTGAAATAAAACATACCTATACTTAATCGGTTCTATCTTCTCCAATTTGTAAGATAGGAAGCTGAAATTTTAGATGGTCAATACCAAAACGTGTCCAAATATCTGGAATATTCGAAAGTTGGTGCATGTTACACAGGGCGTCTAAAAAACTCGGACCAATTGTGTCAAATTGAAAGTTTAATAACTCGCTTATTTTAAATAGAACACCCTGTGTTTGATAATGCCAGTAGATGCACCTGTTAATTCTCTTTCCATTGGTATAAGCATTCCCTATACCTAAATCCCACCGATTTTGAGATATTTGAACATAAATACAGAGACGAATATAATACGACAGTTAGCTGTAGGTTGGCTGTGGAAAAACATTTAAATGTCACCAAGTGTCATTACTTATTTAGCAGATTTGCTGTCATTGCTGTAAAGCGAGTTTGTCGATTTTCCAAGTGTTTTCAATAACAATGGCACACTCTGGGTACACACACAGGGTGTTCTATTTAAAATAAGCGAGTTATTAAACTTTCAATTTGACACAATTGGTTCGAGTTTTTTAGACGTCCTGTGTAACATGCACCAACTTTCGAATATTCCCGATGTTTGGACACGTTTTGGTATTGACCATCTAAAATTTCAGCTTCCTATCTTAAAAATTGGAGAGGATAGAACCGATTAAGTGTAGGTATGTTTTTTTCAAAAATTTTGCAAAAGTCAAAATATTTCAAAAACGATTGAGTTTAAGGATAAAGTAAGGTTATGAAACTTACCTTAAAATTCAATGTAGAATCCAAAAATTAAATAAAAAATAGTACATTCCATTTGAAATAAGAGAGTTGACGTCTACTTCCGGTAAAACCGGAAGTTCCACGACGACGCCAATATTTTCAATCGATAGAACATTAGGAGAAACCTCCGTACATAAATTTTCAGAATTCCAGTATGCGTAGTTTTCCAGAAACGTCTAATTGAATGTCTATCTGGAACACCCTGTATATTTATAGTGAAACGAAATTCACTAAATTTGTCTTGTTTCAGCAATTTGCAGCAAACCTTGTTTAAATGGAGGCAAATGCGTTAAACCAGAAATGTGTGCTTGTCTTCAAGGATTCAGTGGACCACAGTGTGAAATTTTTTCCAATGAACGTAAGTATAATGGACTTTTTTCCAATAGTACTACAATTTTAATAAAATATAAGAGAAACAAAAAGTTATAGTCATCTAGCTTACTACTTGAAAATAACTGCTTTCAGCAACATGTAACAAAGTATGCCAAAACGGTGGAAGATGTTTTCATGGAGTTTGCAGTTGTGTTAAAGGATATGGTGGAGAAGAATGCGAAATAGACTTGAATGCACGTAAGTAAGTCTATAGGATTATTATACTTACTGTTTATATTTAGATATTGATGTAGATAATGGGAATTATCTAGAATCTAGTATGTATTTTGCTTTTAGACAATTTAATCAATTAAAAACATATAGGATGTTGCAAAAACTTTGTGAATGATCAAAAAATAAGACAACTTTTTGAGGGCGTCAAGTATACTTCTTTAAATCAAATTTTTCCAAAGAAAACATTTTTTAATTAATACACTGAACTTGACCTAACATAATTATTTAGGATTGTCATTATACCACACTGACATGTATTTGTTTGTTTTGTTTAGCCCACTGCGTGAATGGGTGCGAAAATGGTGGAACTTGTGTTCGACACGAAGTGTGTCGATGCTTAAAAGGATTCACAGGACGTTACTGCGAAGAGGACGTGGATGAATGCAAGGAAGAGAAACCCTGCGATCACATATGTTATAATGTTCCGGGTAGTTACAAATGTCAATGCAAGGAAGATTTTGTCCTACAAAAGGACGGCCAGTCTTGTCGCAAGGAAGGTAATATTTAGATTCCTCGTTAACAATGCTATAGAGATAGAATACAGGCGGCGCGTCGCGTGGGAGATAAATACATTTTGTAAGATTAATTTTTTCAACAAATGTATATAAATTTCTTTTTTACACGAGTCTAATACCCTTTTACGATATTGGTAATGGTATTAAGCAAATTCAAATACGAAGCGCATTCCAAAACTAAGTTCGGTTTGGTCATAAAAAAAATAAGCTCGTGAGGTTTTTATTGACAGTAATATTTTACTACATATCTACTTTACTTTTCCACTGAATCGCCGATCACATCTATACAGTTTCTGTAACATTGCACCAGCACCTGCGGTCTGGGAATTGAACCAATTGGTAACACTAGTCTTGAGTTCATCGTCGTTTTGAAATCGTTGGCCGCCCAGCCACAGTTTCAAATGCAAGAAGCGGAAATAGTCGCTTGGTGTAAGGTCGGGACTGTACGGAGTGATAAAAAAATTACCAACAAAAATCTTGAATATTCTTGGTTTTGGCAGCGGTGTGAGGGCGTGCGTTGTCTTGAAGGAAGCTTATGCCAGACGACAGTCTCCCGCGGCGTCGATTGTGGATCGCACGTTTCAGTTTGATTAGCATTTCACAATATACGTCAGCTGTAATTGTTGACCCACGGTCCATGAAATTAATCAAAAGGACACCCTTACGTCCCAAAAAACGGTAGCCATCATTTTTTGATGCGAGAACAGAGATTGCTTAATTTTTTTTTGGTTTGGGTGAACTTGAATGGCGCCATTGCATTTACTGTTGGTTCGATTCTACGTTGGTGTACAATATCCACGTCTCGTCGCCCGTAACAATGTGGAAAAGACAAATTATGTCCATCTTATCTACAGCGCTCCAAAAACTGTCGTGCACTACGTATTCTCTGCTCTTTGTGCTGATCAGTTAGCATTTTTGGCACCCACCTCGCACACAGTTTCCGATATCCACGCCGTTCAGTGAATTGAGATTCGAGAAACATTTGGGAATTCATCAGCCAGACCACTAATCGTCAATCGTCGATCACTTCGAAGTCTTTGGTTCACTTGATGTTGTCAGTCCGATTAATAGGCCTGCCATTCCGCTGTTCATCGAGCACATTTGTGCGGACACTTCGAAATTCTCCCATTTTCGAACTTGTTTAACACTCATTATTTCAGGTCCATACACTAGACACTAAGCGTAACTCACGATGGAGCTGAAGATCCTTTTGCCAGCAAAAATCACACCGCGCACTTCACAACTGGCGGGATCTACAACTGGCAGGATCTAGCCATTGCGATCTGCTCTCACCGACTACTGAAGACTACTGAATTAAACCAACACTGCACTAACTATCAGTTAAATATTAGTCATCGGACCTTAGTTTTAGAATACGACTCGTATATTCCAAAAATTTTCCTATAATTCTATCAACTGAAGTTAACGGTGTTCTTTGACACCAAAAATCTAGGTATGCAAATAATATCTAACCTCACAGACAACGGGCTACATGTTACATTTATTTTATTAAATATATATTTTTCTATCACTTCTTATACTGTTACTTTATTTTTAAAATATTAAACTAATTCAAATAAATTCAAAATATTTTAATAATATCAGATCAAACCGAATTCTTTTATGCCAAAAATATAGCCTTAATAAAATATGGATTATTTTGATTTGTCATCTACAAAGAAATGTGCGACAATAATACGAGCTCGATTCAGAAAATAACCGAACTTTATTTTTTAAACAAACTATTATTAATTTTATACATTATTGATCCTTGTCTCCTACAAAGTACTTTCCTATTCACCTATTCACATACTTTTCCCAGCGGTGTTTCTGTTTCGCGAAGCAGTCCTGGATAGCTACCTTTAAAGTCTGTAACGAATTTGCTTTGATGTCATTAATAGTCTGAAAACGGCGTCTTTTCAGCACTGATTTTAATTTCGAAAATAAGAAAAAATTGCTAGGAGCCAAGTATAGCTAGTAAGGAAGGTAAGGGAGGACAGTAAGCTGGTTTTTGGCACAAAACTGACGAATTGAAACAGCTGAGTGTGCGGGCGCATTGTCATGCGTTGTCTCGCCCCAACTCTGCTCTCTTTTGCCAAATTTTTCAACGAAACAATGGGAAAACCCCTCAAAAAAGTCAACGGTTCAACCTGAAAAAAAAAATCAAAAAAAAAAAATCCAATAAAAGCCAAAAAAACCGGGAACAACAACTGAAAATGGAACCAAAACGAACGGCCTTCCTGGGACCGGCCGGGAAATCCTTTGTCAATCCACTGTGATGATTCAACTTTTGTCTCAATGTCGTAGCCATACCCAGCTTTCGTCTCCCGTTATGATTCTATGAATAAAAGTTTCATCATCATTAGATTGTTAAGACTTGCCGACAAACGTCAACACAATTTTCTTTCTATTCGGTCATCAAACTAAGAGTTGCATTAAGCAACTCGATGCATGTTCAGTTTTTCAGTAAAAATTTATTGGCATGAGATGATAACTTCTTCTACAATTTCTCCGACAGTCAATCGGCGATTTGGGATTTGCACGCACCAGATCTTTGACTTTGGGAGCCATCAATTGAAGTCGAAACCGTCCTGGTCGAGGATCATCTTCAATTGACTGACGATCGACTACCTACTTTTCGTGAAAACCATTCATAACACTACGTACGACATCATTTCCGTAAGTTTGTTTCAGCAGTTGAAACCTTTCCGCGAAAGTTTTCCCCAGTTTCACGCAATATTTTACGTTGCATAGTTATTTCAGGAAATCACAAATTTCAAAAATGGTCACTAACACTTAAACACGTTGCACTCAAATAAAAATATATCACGTAAACTAAATGAGATATCAACAACCCAAGAACTGTGCCAAGAACATGTATTTGCGCAACGCAATGCTGCCAACCGCATCATGTCAGTCATGTCACTAAATATCTCCATTAGCGCGTAATTAAAAAAGTTCCTTTTTTTTGACATTCGTACGTCAATTTGAATACAACTTGTATCACTATCATTCCCACAAAATTAAAGCAACTTACCCTCATTGCAAAATCTTTTTTGTTACTCATTTTGATAAATTTTTATTTGTTGTAAATAAAGCTGTTGAATTAGGTACAAAAATTAATTTTTTTGTATGTATCTGTATAAAAATAGTTTAAGCAGATTTAAAAAAACAATTTGTTTTTTGTTATTCAACAAAACAAAAAACAACCAAAAAAACGAAAAACGTCTATATTTTTTAAAATCAGCATAACGAATCGCGTTTTTCACGGTTTTTCTCGAAAACATTTATTTATTTCCTCGAAAAATTCAAGAAACCCTGCAAAAATTGGTCGTACCTGTACAATTATGTTTCATGCTCTTTTTTCTAAAATTATTGGTGCCAACAATAATTACCGCGTGTATTGTTTTTACAGCATTGTACGTTGCCTAATGTCAAGCGTATTTATAATACCTATGTATTATTCTACTCAACTAACTATATAATTTTCTTTACAGGCAACGACGGAGGATTTGAAGCCAAAGACTTGGAATTTGAAATGATCGATAAGCGACTGTCAAAATTGGAAACTGTAAATTACAAATTTTTTTCAAAATCAATAAATATCTAATTCTTCTTATTACAGATGATGGATGATCATAAAAATGATGTGTCAAAAGATGATATTCAAAATTTGTATAAAAACCTAAATTTTATATCAAATGATGTCACACAATTAAAAAGTCAAGTGACTGATGTGGTATGTACTATTATTCATTAGGTCGCAATGATTTTCTGTTAAATTTATTGGATACATATTAACAATATTGTGGTGTTTTCACTTTTGAAATTTACAGCCCCCTTAAACTTCAATTGCTTATTTTCTTTTTTTAGTTTTTGTTTAGTAGGGGACTATAACCCTTCATATACAGCGTGGTAAAAAAGTTTTGCATAAAATTCATATTTTCGTTAAACAATTCTTTTTTCGAAAAACGGTGAGACCCGTCGATTTTTATTTGATCCAGGGCACCTTGTTAAGCGGAAAAAAAATTTTTTTCGATAGTCCATTTACGGCAGCGATGACATAATATTTTTTTTTAAATGACAACGCATATTTTTTTCGTTCGAAATTGATGACAGTAATAATTATTATCTAAACAACGGTGTGAAAATTTCGATGTTTTACATAACAATTTTTTTTAGAAAAATGCACCTTAAGTTCTTATAAGTGATAATTGTCTACTTACATTATTAAAGGCTCCGAAAAGGACAAAGTTGACAAAATTACATTTCAAACGAGTAAAATTACACCCTGTACCATTTGGCATTGTCCTATGCGTGTGTAAACGCCGTCTACATTTCGTTCAAGCATTCCCGGGTCGATTTGATTTATTTCAAAACGAATACGGTTTTTAAGTTCTTCCAAATCACCTGGTCTGTTTGTGTACACACGCGATTTCAAATAGTCAAAAGTCTAGAGGTGTTAAATCAGGCGAACGCGGAGGCCACTCGATTGTTCCGCGTCGCCCGATCCACCGGCCAGTAAACGTGTTATTCAAGTACTCCCGTACTTGCACTCCATAATGGGGCGGTGCACCATCTTGCTGAAGCCAAATTCTTTCCTCAGGAATATTAGGATCCTCGTTGTTCGGGAATAACTCTGGTAAGCTTGGGACCAAATCGAACCGCAGGAAATCCAAATAGCGAGCAGCAGTTAAATTTTCCTCGAAACAATACGGGCCTAAAATACGACGCCCTATTATTCCCGCCCAAACGTTCACCTTTCGGGGGTGCTGATGATCTACTTCTTGCACCCAGTGCGGGTTTTCCTGAGACCAATACCGGCAGTTATGTCGATGCACCGATCCGTTAAGATAAAAAGTAGCCTCGTCAGAAAAAATTATGTTCTTGAGGAAGTCGGGGTCTCCGTTACATCGATGCATTAAATCTTCACAAAAGTGGAGACGGCGGTCTGGGTCGTCCTCAGTCAATGCATGTATCAAGTGACCCTTACAGGGGTGAAATTTCTCTTTTTTGAGTAAGTTCACCACAGTTACATGTGAAATATCATTGTTCAATGCAATCGACCTTGTACTAGAATGAGGGTTGTCCTGGAGCTCCACCAGGATATTCAATCTCGTTTCATCATCTACTCTTTACTCGTTTGAAATGTAATTTTGTCAACTTTGTCCTTTTCGGAGCCATTAATAGTGTAAGTAGACAATTATCACTTATAAGAACTTAAGGTGCATTTTTCTAAAAAAAATTGTTATGTAAGACATCGAAATTTTCACACCGTTGTTTAGATAATTATCACTGTGATCAATTTCGAACGAAAAAAATATGCGTTGTCATTTAAAAAAAAAATATGTCATCGCTGCCGTAAATGGGTTATCGAAAAAAAATTTTTACACATAACAAGGTGCCCTGGATTAAATAAAAATCGACGGGTCTCACCGTTTTTCGAAAAAAAATTGTTTAACGAAAATATGAATTTTATGCAGAACTTTTTTACCACGCTGTATAATTTGTTTCATTTAGAGTATATCCACTCCCATAACTTTTTTATTTATCACCTTATTTTAGCTTTTTTGTCAGATAGATCTCGTAAAAATGCGTTAGAGGCTCGCCCTTACATCTTTTATATTTTTTCAGTTGAGTCTAAGTAGGTATTTATATTTTTAAGTCATCCTGTAAAAAAAAATTATGTGTTGGAAAAAGACGCAGAAATTTTAAAAAAACTTTGATTATACCAAACACATAAAAATTATGTTCTTTCTTTAAAAACTTCAAAATTAATATTTCAACATGGGGGGGGAGGCGGTTATAAACTATAACAAACTTTGTGGTCCGATCGGAGTAATTTTGATGTCGTTGAGTAGGCTGGACCTTCCTGCGTCCAATAAAACTGGAGGAAAATGGTGAACCTTTCCTATTTTGCTATTTTTATAGGATTTAATGTCTTAAGTGAGGTGTAAGTGAACTTTGCGTGAAAACTAAATTTTTCTAGGCACCTAGTGTAGGGGGTAAATTCGTATGTAGGGGGGTGGCAAATCAATATACTGTTCTTAAAGGCAAAAAGGACAAATTTGTGATATAAGGGCAATTAAATTGGCTGTTTCGGCGGATTTTATAGTTTTTTTTGTAATTTTGAGGATTGGTAGTGGAAATATGCACAGGGTGATATATTTGAATATTTTACTGTTTTGAGTTACAAGGCGATTCCTAATTTTCAGCCCTTTAGGGATCATTTTTACCTTATAGATATCTTTTTAATCTATACAGGGTGATTCAGAACGTATCCAAAAAAAATTTTTGGATGTACATGGGACTCTTCCAATACAACTATAAGGATTTTACAAAAAAATTTTTTACGATATTGATTCCATATCTCATGCTGCATCCATTCCCAAATTTTTTTGGATAAGTTGTGAATCACCCTGTATAGGATGGAATAAAAAAAATTTGGAATTTAGAAACGAAAATCATGTCGAATTCTACAGGAAATATCTGAAAGAAAACACAAATTTTATAATTTAATGCACTATTCTTGATAAAAAAAATCAAGTTTTCATATTATGATTACTGTAATACTTATTCTTCAGCCCTCAGGCAGGACAGAATTCACAGAATATTCATCGTACGTTTCTGCTATAAACAATTTTGAGATTGTTGTAGTCGTTGAATCCAAAAAATGTAGCATTTCAGTTTCGAAATTCAAGATACCGAATCCAATATAGCGAGTGTGGTGATTCTACAACACCATGCCCCTCCTGGGCATCGAATTTTCGAGCATAAAAAGCTCTAATACAGCAATCTCTATAAATTTATTTACTCTAATTATTTCGTCTATTATTAATGCTCTTGAGTTATTAAACACATGTGTGCTCCTAACAAATTTGGAGCATAAAGGCGCGTATTCACCAAAAAAGCGAGCAAGAGCAAACACAAGCGAGCGAGCGAGCATTCTGCATCAATAATAGCGAGCGAACAAACGTTCGTTTGTTCGCTCGCTGTTCGTTCAAAAAAGATCGAGAGGAAGGCGAGAGGAGAGGAAGGCGGTACATCAAAGAATATACTTGTTCGTGCTTGTTCGGTGTGTGCCATCTATTTGCATTCACATTTTTCTCCTTATATTTAAAGAGACGTCATCAAGAAGAACCCAAACCAATTCAGTAAAGACCTCGATAGAGACACGTGGATACATCTTACAAAAAAATCGATAAAAAACGAAACGGCACAAATACCTCCAATACCGTTAGAGATAGGTATAGGGAACCTATACACAGTTCGAAAGAGTTTTAAATTTCCCAACTCCCAAAGTAAAAATATACTGGGTGTTCCATTTAAAAAAACATAACTTTGATATGGTACACTTTTCCTGGACACCCTGTATATTTCCAAATATTTTTAAAATGTCGCCGTAATCAACCTACACATACCCACCTAAACAGGTTTCTGTAACATTTGCCGTTTGGTCACTAGCGACCGAGGCGTTACTGGTGGCCCACCCTGTATACCTATTTTTCTAATTGTCATATTGAAAAAATGTACGCCATCTCGATTGAATGTCCTTATGTCTTGCATTCTTAGAAGTACGTATATGTTTAAAGTTCCAACCAAGATTTGACCTACTATAAATTTGTAATGAGTATTTAAATACACCTATATTATTTAATGCGTGTAAAAAATGTATAAATTTAACAGACTCGAAAATTCCACTTCCATAGAATCTATTTTAAGACAAATTTGTTACTTTAACTACACTAAAAAAGAATGTAAAAGAAATCCAAATTTAAAAAAATGTTGTTATATTTTACAATTAGGTGCCTACCTGCTAGAAAAGGAACTTCTGTCATGTAACAAATAAATACCTATTAAATAATAAAAAATAAACGTAATTAAACAAAAACTATTAATTACACGTAGTTGTTATAACCAATTTTTAAAACAATGTTGCAATTAGTTGCTAGAATCAGCATCGTAGCTAGGGACTGGCCAGGGGCGAAAACCTCAAGGGGACGCGCTCGCACTTTAATGTTATTGTATTATATTCTCTTACTACAAAATAGGGAAATTTTAGGGAGGCAAAATTCAAATCTTGACCTTAGCTACGATTTTGGCTAGAATAATTTATTTTAATAAGAGACCTATACGTTAGTAATTCTATATTTGTTTTCAGGAGACCTACAAGAATGATATGTACATATTCAAAAATAAATTAATTACCATCGAGAAAAAAGCTGAAAAAGTTGATGATTTGATATTGAAATATGACAAACTAAAAAAATGTGCATTTTATAATAAAATATGTTTGTGAAAATTGAGTGAGTGTTAAATATTCGTACTGTGTATATGTATGTGTATCTACAGGTATAACAATTACCTAATACTAGTATATTATTCCTCATAAGCACTGCCATTTTGTAATATTAATTTTTAGTTGTATAAAATAAAACTTTTAAGTATATGTTTACAAAAATTTTATTTTTGATACAAATATTTCAAGTTACATTATAGGTACCTTCTTCACCACCACCACCAAGTATAACTGTCAGTGATAATTCCTTATTAGTTTTACTACCATTTTTTTTCAGCTACCAACCCACTAAACATTTTTCAGTTTCCGACATGTTTCAGAAATGTTTCCATTTTTCTTGAAACGTTTTATAAAAAATCCATGCAACGTTCTGGTAACGTTCTAGAAGCTCAAGATGTCCTCCCCAAAATACGTTTCCAATGAAACGTTTCAAAAAATTGGTTTCAGTAACATTCTTTTTATGTTCCATTTATGCCCTCGATATTTTTGTTTTACGTTTCAGTATATTTTCAGAAATGTTTGAGTAACATAATAATTTTATTACCATATTGTTCTCATAATGCTCTCAACTTTAGATCATTTTCATTTCAAAAGCGTTTTTGAAATAGTATAAATAGTGTGAGTATTTTTTTAAATATCTCTAATACTCCTTTGTGATATTTTTATTTGTATTGTGAATGACTTAATTCGAACTAAAAAAAGTTACATTGTATATTAAAAAAAATAAATATGCTCTTCTAGTTTGGGGATGCGGCAACTTTTACTAAGAATTTCTTTCTTTTTGAGAAGCCACTGAAAAAAGTTTCTAATATGGATTACGAATTTTGCCATTCATCGTACAAATAAAAATATCACAAAACAATATCAGAAGCATTAAAAAAAAGCTACACATTTTATATTGTTCAAATACGCTTCTGAAATGGAAATTTTCTAATGTTGAGACCATCATGAATATGGTAACAATGACGAACTGATAATTAGAAAAAGTTAGTTATGATTATGAATGTTGAAATGGTAGGTACATGAAAAACAAATAACATTACTGAAAAATAATATAAAGTTATAATTTCTTCTACGCATGGTCAATATTACATATATCCTTTTAATAATAATAAATTATACAGCAGAAATAAGGATACAAAATGATATCTTGACAAAGTAAATATCTGTAGGTATACCTAAACTCTTTTATTTAAGCATGCCTATACACATAAACAAATATAAACATTTGTACAAAATATAAAATAAATGACGTCTATTTCACTTGATTCATCCATATTTCAAATAGTTCTCACTGACTAAGTAGTTGCTCTTCAAATTATATCGAAACGTATAGTTGTTGTTCCATTTTCTTAGTTCTTGTCCCTTGTCCTCTTGTCTGTAATAGGTAGTGGGTATAACTATATTTAGGTAGATGTGACGCAAAATTGGAAATCTCTTCACACATATCGTTTTAAACATTTTGCATCAATATTCATTATTTTATATGCACCTTACAATAACCACAACTGCACACACTACAAATTATCACATAAAATAGCGTCAAAGTAAAGATGAATAACAACGAAACCAAGCAAACTGACAAACCGCAAACCTAACCTAACATAATACGAATTGAAACGACACACGGGAAACAAATAAACTCGGGCTGTTACGCGCAGTCTACGCAAGTCACGAACATACATTTTTTCTAGACTTGTGTTATAAATATGCTACCACATTTTTTTTTCTAATTATGTCTTTATATAACAAAGGCAAATGAACTAACGCTTGAGAAGGATTGGGGATTGAGAGCAAAATTTAACTAATGCCGAATGTTCCATAAGATAAGCAAAAATAGCAAAGGGTTGTTCGTCTGTTATGTTTCCGAGATCGAAAGGGAATGTTTCGAGTAATGTTTCAAACTCTCTTCAATTGTAACGTTTCGGCTATGTTTCACTAGATAAGTTTTCAAGTGCTACATTTCTGTAATGAAACAGAAACGTTTCTAGTTAATGTCTCAAATGTTTAGTAAAACATCTCATTTGCAACGTTTTATTTACGTTTAGTGTTTAGTGGGAATATTATCTATACATACCTATCCTTTATACTTAATTACTCTAAGGAGAAAACAACATACCAATGTTTATTGGTTTGGTCAATGTAATCTTTAACATAATTTCTTATTTAATAAATAATAGTTCATACACTACTTTTATGAATAATATTTTTTACCTAATCTGGTAGTTGTTTTTTTCTAAATCGATGTACAGTTGTAGACAAAATGAAGTTTGCGACCTAAAATTTAATGCCCTTTTGCACCTTAGTGTTTAATCCAGGATTAAGTCTGAACTTGGATTAAAATATAACATTTTGTTTGCACCGTTTCAAATCTATGTATTAATCTAGGATTAATTTAAACCCTCAAATTTGATCGCTTAAAGTTGGATTAATGAGAAAATATAAATTGACACTATTGACAGTATTTAGCTGCTAGTTATAATTTATTTAAATAGGCATTTCTTCCTTTTCCTGTGGACTGTGAATGAGTGAGTGGTGTTAAGACATCATTGAGAACTTTGAAATGGATTCAGATTCTGACTTTGATCTATTGGATGATTTTGAAATTCACGAAATTATAGACTGGATTTTCTAGATATATTAGAAATTATCATAATCTAGACAATACGACTTTATTCCGCAGATTTAGGTTGACAAAAGAGACCACATTACATCTGCTAACTTTAATTGAAGAGGAGTTGGAATATCCAAGTGATATGTAAGTTTTACGAACACGTCGGCATGTTCACGATGCAACTGACAATCAGTATTTTGGAGTTATAAAAAGCTTTTATTCTTAACATGATTTTGTATTTCTGGGAATGTATCTCCTATCCAACAATTGGTTATATGATTGTGCTGGTCATTTGTCTGCTATTGCAGACTTTTCAGAGATGGACATATCAACAGTGTCCAGAATAATTGTACGAGTAGGTATCAATTGCAATAGCTCAGCTTTATCAGAGATACATAAAAATGTCAAACCCAGAAGAAATAGTTAGTGTACACTAACAGTTACACGTGTAACATGAGTTCTATACCTAAAATTGCATCATTTCCTATAAAAACTTTGAAGCCATTTTATTGGGACAAGTTAAGCATAAAAGTAGTGTGGAAAAATAAAAATGAACAAGAATTGGAAACAGGCGCAGAAATATTGACCTAAAAAAAGGTTATTGAAAGATTAAAGAAGAAAAAACAAGGAATGAAACCAAAAGAGAAGGATAAAATATTTTGTGAAGAATAAAAAAAACTTGCAAAAATTTGATATATTCTTCAAGTAGTGACGAAGATAATGTGCTATCGTTACATGATTCAGAGAGTGATTATGAAAATATAGACGAATTTGTAAATGAGTATGACAATGTTTTGAATTAAGATATGGAACACGAAAACAGACTTAAACCGGGGAAATGATCATTAGTATAATTTGCTACAAAGAAGACAAATAAACATTTCCTCGGACAAATACTAAAAATAGACATGATGACCTGACAATGAATTCTTAAGAAAAAAGTAAGAAGACAACAACAACCAGACTTTGTTTGGCCTCTTCAAGACGAAAGCGTAGTCTCAGAAGATGACATTGTTATGTTATGATACTACCAGAGCCCCACTTTAGCAGAAGAGGAGAGGTCACTTTTAATGTTGTATTGCATTATGACAATGTTACCTACATATAGACACATAGGCATGTTTCAAGTTATTGTTTTTTTCTGTTAATTCGTGGTAAGAATATTACCTTATGTTACTTTTCTCTAAACTTTATTATTATTTATATTAAATCAGTTATACCTGCGTGCTACTTTTGACATAGGTAATAAAGAAGCAAATCTGAGTGATTTGGTATTTCGTGTCTGCTACAGAAAATACTGTAAATCTAAAAATCTATATATAGGTAGTTATCTCAAATTTAAAAATTGCATTTGAAAGCCTTTTTGTGAGAAAAATAACGCAAAAAAATTTTTTTCATCTTAATCATCATTAATTGATGTATAAGAAGCAATAAACCTGCTCCTTTAATTTATTATAAAACTTTGATATAGAAAAAGAAAACGGTTCAACCAATCGATTTCAAAATTCTCAGGCCTCATGAGCATGTATTGAGGCTAAAAAAACCTACAAACAGTGGTATTCTTTGCAATATTTGTAGTCATTAATTTTCCAAAACAGAGTCTTTTATTTGCACTTTTTCAAATTAATACCGAGTCAAATGAGTATATAAAAAAAATTCTCAAACACACCAAAATGGCCCTTAAAGAGGTTTGATTCAAGTTTCCAAAACCCACCTTCCGTTGGCTGTACGATCATTAGTTCATGAGATCAAAAAAAGTGACTTTTCACTCAATAGCCGATATTTCAATGAGAAATAATCGTACAGAAATAAAAAAAAAAACAAATTGAAGCTGAGAAATCAGACTAAATGATCATGGCATTGATTAAGCCAGAAAAAATTTTTCTGAGCCCATGGGCAGTTTTGAAAAAAAAAATTGCATTATTTATTTTGATTGCACTGAGAATGATGCTCAAAAAAATTTTTTTACAGCCATTCAAAAATCACTAAATTTGGAAATTTTTCTGCTCTTAATTTTTTTGCCCAGTATAGTTCAAAAAGAGAATAAGTGATATATTATGTTATCCCATTCTTATATGTAACCGGCCTATACATACAGCAGTGTATATCTTAATCCGTTTTCTGTTCTATATTTGCGCCAGACGGAAGGAGCATATTTCTAAACCTATGTATGCAGAAATCTCAGAAAAAAAGAATTTTGCACTTGCACCAGTGATAGGTATGTTTTGTCTGGTTTCCTTCAGTGTGACATTTTTGGTTGGGCAAAAATAGTTTTTTAAAAATAACCCTCAATTTACCCTTTTGGTGCTCGGCATTCTTTAATTAACTTTTAATTTTTTTTTCACCGGTACAAAATGTCCAATAAACAGAAAAACTAAAACTATGTCAACATATATAACTTGAGCCAGTAGGAATAACTCAAAATAATTGTTAATAGCACATCGAGTCAGTCAAGTTGAGCCAATTTGGTGGTACGATGTCACAGATCTCTATGAACCGCATGGACCACATCAAATCCTTTATGAATTATTAATTATCTGTATAATCTAGTTGCACTTACCCAGAACAGAATATACCCATGGAACTGCTTTAAAGGAAAATTGTTACTAACTACATTTTAACATTCTAGGTTTTCTAAATTTATGTGCTTGACCAAGAAGGCTCTGACCGTGTTAATGGAAAGCTCAGGTAATGGTTCAATAAAATATTTTGAATCATGGAAGTTTATTTGTCTACCTGAACCACAACAGACATTTAGCTCCAAACTCGAAGTGGGAACCCTAACATCACTAACTGTACCAAAGCCAATAGTTTTTATTCCTATTACTTATTGTATAGAGCATCCATAAACGAATGGGACATATTTCAAGGGTAGTTGCTTGGATGAACGCAAATCAATTTACCTTGGTACGATTTTATTTCCTTAAAAGTTACGGACCTTAAAAAGAAAATTTAATTTTTGCCCGTAACCTTTTAAAGAAAAAAATTGAATAAAGAAAACTAATCTTAAATCTTTCTGTTTTCATCCAGGAATCTGCCCTAGAGGTATAACCCATTTCATTATTCATAGTTATTAAGTTGTGATTAAATTATTTCTACGATAATAAAAATTTGACAGCATGAATAATAAATCTGAGTAGATTTCATACAAAGTTTAATGTAAAATGGAAAAAATTACAGACATTTGTATGCAAAAATTACCCTCACACATTACATTTTTATTTCCACCACATTATGCACTATTAACAAATTTGCAACAATAAATTATACAAAATCACTTGTTCTTCTTATTAACTTTGGCCTTTGACTTTTTTGCCTTTTTGCTAGCTTTCCTTATTTTTCGTGGATGTAACCAAACTGGATAAGCTCCGTGTTCATCCCTTAATGTTTTTGTATTAAATTTACTTTTTATCTCTTCCACTTCCATGTCTCCCATAACGTTTTGTGTCTTAGCTTTCCCTTTGTCTTTAATTTCCTGTGCAGATGTAATTGTCACAATTTCTGATATATCTTTGACATTTGTATCTGTACTACCGCTTTGTTCGTTGGCAAATCCTAAAGCTTTCTTCAAACGTTCTAATTCTTTTTTTCCATATCTTTCCCTTTTTATTGCCCTACATTTTCTCTTCCATTTGCTTCTAATACTTTTTGCCATTTTACCCTGAAAAATAAAAATGTTATCTAGCTAGTGTAAAATACAACCTGGACATCAAAGTTCACAATATTCAATTACATTTTCCTTTTTTTTTCAAGATATTAAAAAAGATATAATTATTGGTAATCACTCACTTAATAATAACTACCTGTCTCTATTTCAATAATTAATATTATTTTATTAAAGGAAATACTCGTGCTCTAACCTAAACAACTGTTAAATTTGATTCGTTCAAAGATGTCCACCATAAATAAAAGAGTTAATGCACAGAACACAGAAAATCCCTAAATAAGAACGAAATCCTTCCTCTAGTTCGATAGAGGTCGCGCCATTATTCTATGGCTAGAAATTGGCCTCAATGATTTGGGATCGAGGGGGATTATCCCTCTTTATCCTGCCTCATCTCGTGTAGGCCTGGACAGCCTTCGTAGGTGGGCCCCATCCGTCGTCTACCCCGACCGCAAATGCGGCCGGTGTAGGCGCTTTGTGGGACCTCCTTTTGTCCTGGCTGGGCCCCGCCGGCTAGGGCCCTTTCTTCTGGCGCTCTTCTTGCTTCGCCGGCTCGTCTGTGTAAACCCCGGGGGTAGTGTCATGTTTATGTGTGGTATGGTTGGGTAGGGTAGTGCGGCTATGCAGCCTGGGATGCGCTTTGCTAAGG